TAACAACAAACAAACACTATACTAAAGCCAAACCAAATACAAAAGTACAATGAAAACCCCAAGCCTTCTGTCCAAAATCAAATGAAAATGTCTCAAAGCAGCTGAAAAAAATAAAACAACCCTCAGTGCCCCCTCCACCCACATATAAGAAACCCATTATAATCACAAACATAATACGAAACTGAAACCAAAAACAAGAACATACACAAACACACAAATTTACCCCATCCCAATAAAAAATTGTTTTAAGTTTTAGTAAGAGTTTTACGGCACTTGCAACACAATAAGGTCAAATAAGTGCAGAAGATTAGAGGTGTTACAAGAGAGCAACAAGCACAAAAAAGGAGGGGAGATTAAGACAACAGACACTTGACAGGAAAGAAGAAGCAAACCACACCAGAGCCCCCGCCAACCACCCTAAAAAAATTAAACATCTGTGAGACCAGTGCCAGAGAGCTAGTGGTGGGCATTATATCGATATCGTATCGAAGCAGTGAGAAAAATATGGTTATTTCGATATGCCCACTAGGGCCTACTCAGCACCGCATTTCCAGGAATTAGCCGACAGATTTTATGTTTTCCCCTGAAATAAAACACACACACACACACACAAATCAATTTTTTTTAAAAATACAAAACATAAAAACCAACAACAAAAATAGAAGCAGCCGTGTTTCGTGCGTCGATATATCGACCAGACTCGATAATTATAGATATATCAATAAATTTGATGGCGAATTTCAATTTATCGATAATAATTTTGTAATATTGAGAAATATCGATATTTCATGTTTAAAAAATATTGCTATCGTACCGAATTTGATATTGCTGATATGGCCCACCACTCAAGCGAGCAAACACTCACCACCAAGTCCTCCGAGCTGGTCCCCGTGAGGGCCCCGTCCTCCTGCTGAAGCTGCAGGTTGGTCATGGTGCCATGCCCGCCCCCACCGCTCAGCGGGCCCTGCGACGTGCTGCCGTCCAGCGGGAGCGACTTCTTGGTCACCAGGGGGCTCTGTCGGGCCGCCGCCGGCTTCGAAGACGTTGAGGAGCCTTTGGAGCTGCCGCTGCCTTTCTGGTCAGACTTCTTCCTGGAAGAACACACAGCGAGAAACACCGGCGATAAATAAAAATGATCGTAGATAAAAGGAGCCATTAGGAAGTGACAAAATACAGTTTTTCCAGGACACTTGTCTCAACGTAACTTTAGAGTTTGAACACCTTGCTCTCATTGGAAAGATAGAAGACAGACGAGGAGGGGGTTCAGTAGAGGTTTTACGGTGCTCGCAACTGCATAAGGTCATTTGAGCGCCATTTATCACACATTTCAAAAAGTGAAAAGCATTTAGCTAGAGGAATATCATTCTTTGCATGATATTATATTGCCGTGAGTGCATGTCAGAAATTGTGGGTATTTTGAGGAGTACGTCTTGTTTTCTTCCAGCCCGGTGTGTGGTGTGTGGCATTGTGCTACCGGACCCAGTACCAGACTCACATTGTTGTTGCATGCTGTGGTGGGGGGCGGGGGTGGGTGGGTGTAAAATGTTTTTAAACGCTTCCATCCATACAATTGAGGTGGAATACATAGAGAACTCTTGTCTCTTTTCGAGGCAACAGAGATGTAAAATAATGTAAAATTGTGTTACTGGAGGGGATTTATTTTCCTTTGTTTGTTTATCTGGGTTTTGGGTTGGGGGGGGGAGGCGGGGGATGGCAGGGATGGGGGTGTTGTTATTTAAGATTTTATACATATGTAAGCAACATAATAGACAGGCCCCTACATTATCATATCAAATTTTTACATTTTATATCAAGTAACAAATGTACCCAGTTCCCTTAACAAGGGATTAAGAACCTCAGAGATACATCAATGAAATATCGCCATTACCATGACAACAGAACTCTTTTAAATTTTAAATCATTTATACTTTGTTTTCAGATTGAGTAGAAAAGCACATGGACACAAAAACGGTCATTTAGTGCTTACTAAAGTAAGACAGACAGAGAGAAACGATAGAGGGAAAGAAGGATAGATGTACCACCAGTGCCCTCCAAACATCCACCCTCTCGAAACTTTGCAAGACCCACCAAAAAGTTCTCATGTAAATGTAGCCACAAACTACAAATGCCTACAACAATGGCAAACAAAGACAAAGAAATCATGTGAAAGATGATTTTACTTTCCCTATCATTTAATCGAAAAGAATAGAAAAAATAAATGAAGAAATGAAGAAATGAATGAATGAATGAATTTTATAAAAATAAATAAAAAGTAATATAAATAAAATTAAAAACAAAAGGCACAATCTGAAGGAACTGGAACCTGTAACACATGTGTAGTTTTTTAACCAAGCAATACAACAACTAGATCTAATAACTTATTTTGAGTTTTCCGGAGCATTAAAAAAAAATATGTGGGAGTTGATTCAGCAACAGCTGTTCGACCTATATTGCATGCTTAAGGCAAAATGACACGAAACAAACATAAAAAAACCCAAAACCTAACTGCTTTCTACTTTGTACTAGAGAACCTAGACCTACATTAAATTTAAAAATGCCTTGCAAGAATGATGGGAGTGAGTGTGTATGACTATGAGTATGAAGAGGGTATTAAATTGTTTTTCGTTTCATTTTTAAGTCAAGTTTAAGTGAAGGCTTACACTAACTAAAACAGAAAGTCTGAGATGATAAATAAGGCTGCCAAATGTCTGACCCAACCATCCAATCTAAACTAGGCCTTGGTCTTGATTTACTAGATCTACATCTTGATATTTTGCTCTCTAGGATTCAGGAAGCAAGCTCGTCGGAATAGATATAGAGATGCAGAATAGATAGATCTGGATCTGGATCTCGAACCATATGACCAAATCCAGTCATTTTGAACCAAATGATTATTTATATATTTGGTAAATAGCCTACTTGATAAAATATGATCTAGATCTAGATTTTCTAGCTTCTAGATCTAGCCAAGATCTAGATCTAGATTAGATCTAGGCCTACCTCTGTCTGACTCTAGTCTAAAACAGAGACTAAAGTTGCTAGTGTACTACTGAGAAGTTCGTGTAGTCTAGCCTTGTTACAGTTTAGATCAACAGCTCAGATTCAGAATCTAGCCTGCCTGATAAGTAAGAGCAGCAGGAGTTCACTCAGTACAAAGACAAAGAGTCTTATCAGCAACATAATTAATAATTAGGCTGTCTGTAGTATTTTTATAGGGTTGATTAGATTTAAGTTACTATTACCCTTTGGATGATGTCGATCCTGAATCTCTGCAAAGGCAAAGGCCTCGAGCTTAGACTTAGTCTTGGTACGACAGCACAGTCCACGAAATCAAGACTAGATATCTAGAGTCTAGATAAGATCATCTAGATATCTTGATTCTAGATGTAGATGTAGATTCTAGATCTGGACTAGATCTAGATCTAATCTAGATCTAGACATGAGACTACATTACAAGTGTGTAGTCATGGATGCTGACCTCACCAACTCTCACCACACTTCACTGAATGGTGATCTTGTAGTTCCGTTCGTTAAAGTCCACGATCCATTCAGAGAAGAAATCCAGAAGTCTTGATTGTCTTGAAGACCAAATACTATTTGAATTAGGCTACGCACAAAGAGCAGGGATGCAACCTAACTGCAAAACATCAAATTAGGATAAAATTCAGGGGGGCATGCCCCCCTGAACCCCCCCACCTCCATTTTTTTTTTTAGGTCAGGGGGGCAAGCCCCCCTGAAACCCCCCTGCTTGACTTAAATAACGAACGAAACTACAAAATCGCCCACTGAATAATACGGTCTGAGACTCTACTACTAAGTTACTATGACCTAGATCTAGAGATCTAGAATCTAGATATAGATCTAAATCTAGATTCTAAAAGATCTAGATCTAGATCTAGATTAGATTAATTCATAAAACTAAACTAAATCTAAGCTATGAGTCAGGACCAGGCATCATCAGGGGCCTAGACCCTCGAGCCTAGGCCTCTAGTCTAGTGTAGAGCTGTCTAGTTTTGGTAGCAGAGCAGGGTGTGATGGATTAGTAACACCGAGTACAACTCCCGAGCTGCGTGAAAAACAAGAAATAACGCATCTGTTGCAGACAAAACAACAAGCTAATTACACAACAGTGAAAAAAAAATGCGTTGTCGTTGTTAGCCCAGCACACATCGTTGAAGTCTGCTAACTTCCCTACCTTGTCAACACTTGATGGAGCAAAGGGAAAGAATTTGAGTTTCGCATCATCTCAAAAGTTCGTTTGGGTGATGCGCCCCTTGCTATTCCGGAAACCGGGATATTCCTGTCGCTCCCAGGCATTGTCAAACCAACGGACATGAGGCCAGTAGGAAGAAGGGATTGACCTAGTTAAGAGAATCGCCACCCTTATCTTTGCGAAACCAACGAAAGCACCTCAGTCATCTTATTGTTCCAAACAGATATAGGAATAATCACGAAATCCTCCTAATACGTTCTGGAAATCAGTTCAGTTCACAGTGGAAGCAGAAGTGACCACAGGATGATGCTTCCTCAATATGACCTGTTGCAAAAACAAACGGCCGATATAACCTAAGGCCTTAGTCGAACAGAACACAATCACCCCCTCCCTTCACAGAAAGCAACAATTTAGGCCTAACCAACACATTACAAGAAGAAGAAGAGGCGTGCTTATGATGACAACATCAATATGACAATCATAACAACAACAACAACAACAACAACAATCATACAGAGTAGCTCCCAGTGAAAGTTCGCAACTTTCATTTTCTTTCTTTTTTTTCTCCTTTTACAGCACAGATCTACATCTAAAACTCTACTCGCATTCACATCCTCCTCCTCCTCCTTCTTCTTTTTCTACTTCTTCTTCTTCTTCTACTTCATCTTCTTCTTCTTCTTTTTCTTCTTTTTCTTATTCTTATTCTCCTCCTCCTCCTTCATCTCCTCCTAAGGTCGTTTTTTGCTGGGGTTTTGGGTTTCTTTTTTTGTCTTTTTTTTGTTTGCTTGTTGTTTTGGTTGTTTGTTTGTTTGTTATAAGCCCTATATATTATATTTTGTCTCCATACATCTTTGAATTTGTTTTGTGCTTTTATTGTCGTTGATTTTGCTGTTTATCTTTATTTGATCGTTGTTTTGTTGTCGTTTTCTATAATTGCAATGTGGCTTTCATTCTGTTTGTCTGAGGGTTTTTTAAATTTTTCTTTAAATTTTAGTAATTTACATTTTTATTCATATTACATGTATTCATAATTTATATTTAGACCCCTATATTTAGTTGGGCGGGGGTGGGGGTGTGCTTTTTCGAGGTGTGTGTGTGTGCGTGTGTGTTTGTGAGTGTGTGTGTTTGTGTGTTTGTGTGTGTGTGTGTGTGTGTGTATGTGTGTCTGTGTGTGTGTGGCTTTATATATATAAAAATATATGTGTGTGTGGCTGTATGTGTGTGTGTGTGTGGCTGTATGGATGTTTGTGTGTGTGTGTGTATGTGTGTGTGTATGTGTGTGTGTGTGTGTGTGTGTGCGAGCGGGGGAGGGGGCTCTGTGCTTAACCCATCGTCTAGACGATTTCCCTCACGCCCAGCGTCTAGACCACTGGCCAAACGGCCGGCCATCCAGCCATCCAACCCTGGCCTGCTCTGTCTCGTCCTGGGACGCCCGGCCCGGGCAAACAAACGGAGGCTAAACCCTACAATTAGGGCACGATCACAGCACGGGCCTGGGTGTGTGGCTGTG